GCAATTATTTTCAACGTCGCGATCCGAACAGTCGGCAGATGATCCGAGAAGATAAATCGAGTGCAAAGAGCTAAATGAAATTGTCGAATTAGCGCGGCCGGGCTCCGCGAATGCGGCTGGACTCTGCGCGCCGCAAGAGCGGCGCGTTCGCGGATCGCGGAGTATTAGGAGGAAGAACAAAAATGGACTACCTTTTCTCGTTAATATATCCCGAGTCGTTTAACAGGCACTTCGAACAGGAGAACGAGCCTCCAGGTAACCGAGGGCGCACCGTCGGTTCCTCGTTGTGTTTATTGGAATTCGATCTCGTAACTCGCGCGATACTCGACCCGGAGTGTCGAAGATCGACAAGCTTTTGCATCCCGAGGCAGCTCGGCTGGATGGCGAGCTCTTTTGAATACCCGATAAAGATCGGTGGCATCTCTTTGAAAAAGAGGAGAGAGAGAGAGAGAGAGAGGTCAGGCCAGCCGATTCACACAGATTGCTTCCGCCATCGGCGCCGTTTCTCGAAAGCATCGCGAACGTATGCTCCGCCGAACGATCCGCGAGCATTCTAATGAATTTCATTCTGCCCGCCTCGATCGCGGATAAGAACAGACGACACCGTTTACATCGTTCCTGTGCAGAAACGGGATACTTGGCGCGGCAAACAGCTGGCCGATACGATTGACACGCGACATTCGACGGTGTCGCGACGATAGAAAATCGATCGACGCGTCGTCGCGAAAAAAGAATGAATTAATCGACTTCTTTTTTTACTGTCCGACGTAGAAATTGTATTTATATCGCTTGGATCGGTCAGTGACACCGAATAGAATTCACTTTTCTCCTGCGAAATGTCGGAATTTTATTTATTTATTTATTATTATTAATACTTTATTTATTCAGTTTTTCTTTTGTGTTATAAAAGAACACAATATGCAGGTGTAATTAGGAAAAACAAAGTCGCTGTTACAATAAAACAGGAAGTATCATCATTTTGTTAACATATGAAGATTCCTGAGGTTATTTGGAGTAACTTTTTCCTTAGCGAAAATGTTCTACGAGGCTTCGTTTACGAGTTATTAACGAAAAACCGTGACCAATCAGAGGTGCGCTCGGTTGACGCTAGATTGGCGCTACACTGGCGCTAGGCGGCCGAGCGGTCGAAGCGCCGTTCCGCTGATTGGCTCGGCCGCCTAGCGCCAGCGTAGCGCCAGTATAGCGCCAGCAGAGCTCGCCTCTGATTGGCCACTGGTTTCCGTTAATAACTCGTAAACGAAGCCTCGTAGAACATTTTCGTTAAGGAAAAAGTTACTCGAAATGACCTCAGCAATCACCTCATTTCGGTTGTTAACATAATTACGGGATACCTTGTATAATGCAGACAAAATGATGTATCATATTAGGTAACTTTATGCTCTAAGGTTTCGCGTTTCGCATGATGCGACTGTTAATTTTCCATCTGTGTGTATCGAAATGAACGTTTAACTCGATGCTGTCGCGTCGCGCAGATTGTGGCTGACGGAGCTTCCGCAACCGGAAAGTTTGGCACCGCGTTGTTCTTCGCGAGATAATGACGACGAGGAAACGCGCACTGCCGTTAACTCGGGACTGTTCCCAAATTTCAGTTTGTAAATTCAAATTAAACGACGTCGATAATCACATTTTCGTAGCGATTATTATTATTATACGATGCATAGTTAATTTATTTCTTGTTTTTGCGGTAAACGTGACAAGCGAAATAAATTATATAGTTTCTGTAATTTAGCTCTGAACTGTCTTAATAATAAATTTGGTCGGTAAAAAAACGATACGCAGATAAGTGAACAATAAGAGCCCTTGTTTCTCACAATGAGGAAAATGTGATTAAAATATTAATTATAGTTGTATTTTATTAATTATATAATATTAATTATATTAATATTGATATTATATTAAATTATATTAATATTATAATATTATATTATGTTATATTAATATTAATATTATATTACATTATATATCAATATTATCAATATTAATATNTATTTATATTTAGTATTGTATTGTATCATATTTGTATTTAGTATTATATTGTATTATATTTCTATTTAATATTGTATTGTATTATATTATATTATATTATATTACTATATTAATATTATATTATATTATATTAATATTATATATTAATATTATATATTATATATTATATATTATATATTATATATTATATATTAATATAATATTTTTATTATATTAATAATAATAATTTATATATATATTACATTATATATATAATATAAATTATTTTATAATTCAACTAAAATGACTGCAAATAGACCTGAAAAGTGCTCGACACAACCTTTTACTCTCCAATAAAAAAAAAAAGAAAAAAGTAAACAGAATTACCTATAGTTGTATACACCCATGTTAATTAAATGACACGGGAATAAACTCATGCAGGAAATGTACTAGGAATTTCATTAAACTGCGCGCACGTTACAAAGCAGCGGCTCGAGAGATTTTTAATTAAACAAACAGAAACACGAGCTGCGTATGACGAGCGCCGTCGAACGGGAACTTTCAATTGCCTCGCATTAATTTTGTTATTTCGAATCGAGCTACCTGATTCCCGGCTAATTTTTGTCGAAACAACGCCAATTTCAACTTTATAGCGCCGGGACACCTTTCAGCTGCGAAGTTTCGTTGCACGCGCTGATTGCACACCGTCGTCGTTCGCGGTGTTGCAGCGAAATTATTAATAAATAGTTATCGGCTGCGGCATTGACGAAACGTTAACTCGAATCCACAAAAGCGAAAATACACGTAAATGCACGAATTCACGCGTATTATTCGACGGGCGTTTAACGAAAGTTTTCGCCTGGCGAAACTTAATTATTCGGTAGAGGGGACGTTTAATTATTAATAATTACTAATAATAAATAGTAATAATTGTAAGAAACATTTGTAACATTTTTGCAGATGTTAGACAATTATTTTTTGACGAGAAGTCAACGTTAATGAGAATATTCCGGTTCGAAGCTTTTTGATTAACACTGGATTTACGGAATCCGACAAAATGGCGGATCGCTAACGATCACTAACTATTAATTAATTATCGTAAGGATACATTTATGAGTTATTTATTCAATTTATACGTTATTTACGGTAATTGTTACAATAATGCTTTTTCAAAATAATAATAAATGTCTTATTTTTACTTTTGTAAACTGATATAAAACAGCTGCTTCTTTTTAGCTACGTAAATCTAGTGTTAATATTATTAAATTAATTTATTATTATATTATCGTCATATTTATTATATTATATTTAAACTGATATAAAACAGCTGTCTTTTTTAAGCTACGTAAATCTAGTGTTAACATTATTAAATTAATTTATTATTATATTATCGCTATATTTATTATAATATTAAATAAATTAAATTATATTTATTATATTGTTAATAAAGCGTGAAACAATCGGTAACTGAACTTTAAAGCGACGCTCATTTTTTAATTATCGACTTTCTTCAGGGTTTTTTGATTTTAGTTACCTTGTTAATTACTTTTTAATAAGCGATTGCATAAGAGGGCATGGCGTGTCGTCAATTTTAATTTTCCCTCGATGAAGAAGATCGGAAATGATACTAAGCTTTGCGTAAACATTCTTTACAATTTTTATTACAGTAAGTGTTATACTTTTACTGTAAGAAAAATCCCGAAAAAAACGCTAAAAGAAGATGCGTTTCGCGCTGAACACCTTCTTAAAATAACAATTTTCTGGAATAATCGTAGAATCTCTAGGGTTAAATTACGAAAAGGTTTCATAAATGATGGCGATTCGTTCATTTTTTTAAAACTGCTTTTTAGATAATTAACTGTCTTTTAAATTTGAGAACTTTTAGTTTTCAGAAAAGTTACTCGTATCCGAAATNATAATTATAATAATTTAATATATTATATGATAATAATTCTAATAATTTATAACTAAAAACTACAAAGATTGAATAAAATAATGACAATAATTTATAAGTAGAAACTACACAAAGATTGCATAAAATAATGATAATAATTATAATAATTTAATATATTATATGATAATAATTCTAATAATTTATAACTAAAAACTACAAAGATTGAATAAAATAATGACAATAATTTATAAGTAGAAACTACACAAAGATTGCATAAAATAATGATAATAATTATAATAATTTAATATATTATATGATAATAATTCTAATAATTTATAACTAAAAACTACAAAGATTGAATAAAATAATGACAATAATTTATAAGTAGAAACTACACAAAGATTGCATAAAATAATGATAATAATTATAATAATTTAATATATTATATGATAATAATTCTAATAATTTATAACTAAAAACTACAAAGATTGAATAAAATAATGACAATAATTTATAAGTAGAAACTACACAGAGATTGCATAAAACAATGATAATAATTTATAACTAGAAACTACGAAGATTGCATAAAATAACGATAATAATTCATAGCTAAAAACTACAAAGATTGCATAAAATACTGATAATACTAATAATTCTACAAATATCGATATCGCCAATGAAAAAGTTAATAACAACCGAACGACCGGTCGCTTAGTATCACTTTCACGACCGTAAATCCATCGGAAGCGAATCTAGGTGTTAAATAGACGGCAAGAAAAGAGCTAAAAAAAAAAGAACTCCCACCGAAGCTGCCGAACGAATCGCCGTTTATGGTTCTTCGCATTTTTCCGCGTTTCATCAATCGAATTCTCTCTCTCTCGGCTCGACAAGCGAAGTCGACGCGGCGCGGCCGCAGCGAGACAATCTCTCGTACAGCGAAGTTCCTCAATTTCGCGTTTTGTTTCGCTCGTTTTCTTTTTTTTCGGCGCGACGGTGGAAGGCGCGAGGGGAGAGGGTGGTATTCGCGTTTTTGTGCACGCAGCTCCGGAGAGAATTCCGGGAGCTCATTTCTCGCCGCGGCGAATACAAATACGGAATTAAGTAATTCGATTATACTCACTCGGATAAATTCGCAATGACTTCTTCACGGATCTCCACTCCTCCCGGTTATCTGAAAGTTTAATTACTCCGTCACACGGCGGCCGACCGCGCGGACAATTTTATGAAAACCGCCGCGAGAACCCGCGCTGTCCCGCGTTTCGTCCTATTCTTTGCGCGCGCGCCATTGTTACGCTGGCGACAGAGCTGAAAACCCGACGCGGACCGCGCGATTGGCCGGTCGAAGAGATCGAACGCGAGTGGATCAGCCTCTTTTTTCTTTTTTTTTTATTACATTGTAACTTGCGCCGAAATCGAATAACAAAACACGAAATCTTTCTGCCGTTGCGAACAATGCGATTCGCTTGTTTCGTTTTGTCAACAGAAAGACGACCGTGAATGCGTTGTTAGCTGCTTTGTAACTGGAACTACGAACGATCCTGCGCGCGCGTTAGGATTACACGAGATTTGTACCGTTGATTCTATTTTAATTGAAAAGTTCGCTTGCAAGAGAAATTAGAATCGATCTGATCATCGAACGAACAGATAAGAACCATTGCGAAATCGGACGCATCGCTCGATGATGATGTTCGTCGTGCCTCGATCGATTATTTGAAAAAATGCGGACCTCGTTCGGCAATATGTATTTGTTTTTCTTTTAATTTCTTTTTTTGTGCAGCGTTATCAGATCCTTCTTTTTTGTCTTTCTTCTTTTTTTTAATGCGGTGAAGGCTTTTAAAAAATTAGCCCGCCACGCGGTTGCAATGCAATTAACGAACTGACGTCGGCTCGCGAATATTTAACGATAAGAGGCCGTGCCGCGGCAGTCCGTGATAACCTACGCCACTGCATAAGTCATGGGCGCGGGATCGGTTGCGCCAGTCCGTGCAAATGGACACTGACTTGCGTGATTTTTTTTAGTAAACCTAGTTACCTTTCGCCTCCGGGCCATATGTCATCAGCGCGCCCATTAGCACAATTAGGACGACCTGGACGAAGAACAGCAGGCATACTTGCTGCTTCCTGCTCGCCGCCGTGAACATTCCCTATATTCGAACAGAACGCGAATGGTAAAAAAATAAGCGAATGCTTTTATTCGTAATAATTAATTGTAAATATAATTGTATAATTATATATTTAAATATAAATATAATAATATTACATAATGTTATGATGTTTACAATTGTAATTGTAAATATAATAATATTATATTCTATTATATACTTTATATAGTAATGTAATGTGATAAATATAATTATACAATTATAGTTATAATTGTAAATGTAATAATATTACATTATATTGTATAATTTATATAATAACGTAACATAATAAATATAATTATATATATAAATATAAATTTAATAATATTATATTATATTATATAATTCATATAATAATATAATGTAATATAATTATACAATTATAATTATAAATATAATAATATTACATTATATTATATAATTTATATAATAATATAATATAATATATATTATAATATAATAATAATATAAATATAATTTAATTACAATTATAATGATAAATATAATATATTACCATATTATATAATTTATATAATAATATAATAAATGTAATGATCTATAAATATAATTTAATTATAATTATGATTATACATATAATTATATTATATATAATATAATTATAATAACAAAATGTAAATATTATACTATTATGTT